AAAGTTTGACACTTCTTGGGCCATTATCTCCGTAACCGTTCAACTTTGGACATAGGTGTTTTGGGTTATATCGGCATACTTTAACATAAGGAACACCCTCCCGAAGTTTGGCACATTCCTCCTGGGACACTCTGTATATATACATATACATACTTGCATGAGGGTTATTCGGAAATTAACCTCCGTTTACTTTGGGCAACTAACGTAAGAGTGGGGAAGAGCTTGCGCATGCGAGGTAGTGTCACATGACTGAATTGCCCTGTAAACCACATAATGGTCACCTAGCATCTGTTGTCTCTACAGAGTAAGCCATGATGTGTCCTGTGAGTGATCATCCCGCCAGCTGTGAAATTCGCGCTGTCCACTTTCTTCACGCTAAAAACGTGCATGCTGCAAAAATCCATCATGAATTATGCACGGTTTATGGCCAAAATGTAATGAAGGAACTGTAAGAGAGCGGTGTAGAATGTTCAAATGTTCACAATGAAGAGCAAAGTGGTCAGCCATCTTCTATAATGAGTTATAATTTTGTTCAAAGTGAAAGATGGCGCTTCACAATTTCAAAACTCTCATGTTTATCAGAGTTAGGTTAGGATATCACAAGTTTCGCACAAGATTGGTTCTGAAAATGGTTACGTGTGTGCACAAAACACAGGATTGTTTCAGCTCTAACTTTTTCAGAATGATACCACAAAAATGGCAATGAATTTCTCAGTCACATCATATGAGAAACAGGTGATGAAACCTGCGTTTCATTTATGAATGTTGAAACCAAAGAGCAGTGGAAGCGGTGAATGTTGACGCACAGTCACCAACAAGCCGGAAAAGTTTAAACAAAAGTCTGTCATAAAGCTGATGTCACTTGTTTTCTTGGACAGGAAAGGAGTGCTGATGGTAGGATTCATGCTAAAAGGGACCACAATAATATCAGAAATTTATTGCAAAACACTAAATGAACTGCATAAGGCCATTCAGAAAAAAAGGCAGTGGAATGCTAACATCCTGTGTAGTGCTTCATGGCAAAGCATTTCTGCATATAGCTGCTTGTACTCAGGCACTGCTTGAGAATTTCAAGTGGGAACTGTTTCACCAGCCTCCTTACAGTCTGATCTCACTTGGAGCATCTACCACCTGTTTACCTACCTGAGGAACTGGTTGGGATCACAGTGCTTCAGCAATAATGAGGAGTTGTTGGAGGATATAAAAACGTGGCTGAGGGCAGAAGCGGCAGACTTCTTTGACACAGGAATACAAAAACTTCTTCCCCAATATGACAAGTGCCTCCATTCTGGTGGTGACCAAATTGGGAAGTAGCTTAAATATGTACATAGTTTTTCTATAAAGTCTTTCTTTTTTCTCATTACTTCTTAACAGCTCAGTGGATGTTACTTTCAGACTCACCTTTGTACAGGGAGATAGAGAAGTCACGCACAATGAAAAACTTGTTCTTGGGAAAACAACATGTCTGTCACGCAATAAACTAAGCTATACTGCAGAAGTCGTATGACCAATACATGACAGATGGCGTTTCTACTCGTTGTTAGTACTCCTACAGTACCATCTAGCGGTAGGAGATATAATTATATTAACTGGAATACAGTTTATAACAACTTTTAATTTGATGTGCCCGACTTTTCAATCTCCCTGTATATATTGTGCCCAAGACACATCTTGCTGGTATGAATGGAATCAGTAGTTGTGGAATGATTGTGACCTACATGGCTTGCCTGTTCCAAAACAGATTCAGCCTGTCCCATGACATCCACAATATATAGAGGTTGCATTATATTACAGTTGTGTGTGACATGTGTCATAATAGTTTAATCTATCTGTCTCTTGAATTGCATTACAGTTTCAAGACGCATATCCACATATTTATCGTCGCCGTTTTCCTGACTCTGCAGTGCAGGATAAAGATGTGAAGAAGCCATCTCGAGGACTTCTCAATTTAGGAACTCTTTCACGTCTGAAGAGTATGCGTGTATGAAAATCATTTTTATTCGTATGTTGAATCTGAGGTTCTCACAGAGGTGATTATCTGTCTTCTGGGATATCATGTCATGTAGTCCAGTGAAGGTCAACATGTTTCAGAACAAGAAATTGGCTCTATCCTCAAGGTTGAAGAGTAAGCCAAGCAAAAAAAAACAAACCTGAAGCGGGAAATAAATGGAGCCTGGTTCAATGGTGAATTTTTATTCAGTTTATTCTTTGACCCTGAAGGTGGAGGTGGTAAATTCTTTCATAACATCAGTTAAGTTTCACCAAATTACACAGCATTATGTCCTGAAAGACTGACCTCTTCTTGATTTTATTAATTTTATGAAATGTATAATTTTATACTGATGAATCTAAAGTAGGGCCAGTAGAAGTTTGTTCTATCTGTGAACCTTCTGTATATTTTCCTTTTCTTGCTGCTCATATTTGTAAACTCATTAAAATCCTATTCAGAAACTCTTCTTATAGCAGTTTCCTTTTCCTTCAAAACATATTGTGGTTTATACTCTGTCCAACATATCAGGTTCTTTAGGTGTTCTTTAAGCAAAGTAAGAAATTGAGAATGCCGTGACATACACAATAAGAAAGTGGGAATGTCATGTCTCTTATGGGTTTCTGCACATCACATCTTCTCAGATTGATATACTCTTAAATGAAAACACCCCCAAGAGATTAATTTGACAAATTATGTTAACTTTATTGTCTTTAACATTTTTTAGTATAGTGATTAGCTATTATTTATAAATGTAATATTTTATTTTTAGTATAGAATGTAGGTACTGTAAGTGTGCATCTTACTCCATTGAATATTCTCACTATGATAAGAAGGTAGATTCTTCTCTGAATAATTGAGTTTTTCCCAGCCAAAGAGCATTCCATAGATGTTGCATATTTATCTATGCCCTGGAGATGTGCACCATGTTTGATAACTTGTGCCGTATAACAGGATTTTGGCCAATCCCATAGGAGGTCAGTATTCCGGATCGGCTTTGAATGATGTTATTGAGACTAGTTCTGGATACGCAACTTACGGGTCAAAACTAACGGACCAATCAAAATTGCCACAGGAGATAGTAATCATTTGAGATGAATACAGATGTTGCTGAAGTGCAGATTTAATAGTGTGGAATCTTTTGACAGATGTAGAGGCTTCCCCTCTTATAATATTACAGAAAATATCCTTGCAGAATCACAGTTTAGAAACAGTGCCATGCCTGTTCCCATACCACCTGATGCAACAAGCCAAGATGCTTCTAGAACAATCTGTAATGCATAGTAACTCATAGCTAATGCAGTCCTGAGTCAGGTATCGTGCATATACTTGAGGCCAACTTCCAGTGGCCCATAACTCAGTAGTCTGAATATGAACCATCTTGCGTTACTATAAGTAATACTGACCTAGTGTAGCCACTTTGATCCCTTGTGTTTATTCTGATATCACTATTTATTTATTGTCTGCATCCAATTGTGTGTTACAATGTCATTTTTTGGCCGTCAACAACAATTTTTGTCAAAACCAATATAGTATCACTGTACTAACATTGGCTTCATTTTAGCATCTGCTGCATGTTTCAATCTATGATTTGGATCATCAGACAGTTTCTTAAGTATATCACTTGTTACTTAATTGTCCTAATACAGATCCATATTTGTATTATTTTTTTGAAATCCGTTGATTTATATTGTAACGTGTTTCGTTACTGAAGACGCCGTAGAGATGGTTAATTGGGTTTATTTAACAATCTACAAATAACGGCTATAATTAATGATCACAATATTACGGGTTTCCACACTTTACAAACCCTACAACAAATCTCTTAACACAATCTTCACTTGTCTTCACGTACTGATAACGCGGGAGCTATACAAGTCTCCCTGAAATACACACTCCGAGTATAACTGTACTACAGCAATCACTATGTCTGGAAAGCACACAATAAGTCTTCCGCTCGCTGACTTCTTCGTTATCCCACACTCGCAGGCTGCTATGTTTCAACTGATTGGTAGCGGCTGTGGAGTCCACTTATATAGCCTTGCGCTGTTGTTAGTGTGACGTGGCGTATAGCCTAGGACGCTGTTGCTAGTGTGACGTCACCGCTGTTGATTAGCATTGCGTAGTTGCCAGGTTACGGGGCTCGGCTATCTTCGGCTCCGCTCGTGACGTCACCGCGCATAGCTGCCAGGATGCGGGGTGATTACTCGCCTATTACGCGAGCGTTACGTTACCGCTGAGGGGTGGGAGGGGAGCGCTGACTCACCCGCCGCGTCACTGCTGGTGTGGGGGGGGGGGCTCGGCTTTGCGCAATATGTCACATTATATATTATAGTTAACCTTAGGACTATAATTATTTAAGTTAGTATTTATGTCTCATGGGTATGATGTAAGTTTCTGTGACGCTTGTTGTGTATTAGAGAGTGATAATTCTTCTGGGATTCGTTGTTAACGTTTGTTTTATGTGTTATGGATGCTTACTCTCATACTCTTGTTACTAGTTCTATGTGTATTTCTTCCTGATTTTCTTATGTAATATCATGATTGAAGTTTTATTCTCTTTGGAATATGTGTTTCTGTGCTTCTTTTGTATGGATATTTCTCTTCTATTGAATGTTTTTCTTATTTTGTGGTTCCGCGTGTCCATAAATACTAAGTGTAGTAATTTTAGCACTGAGTTAACCATAATATTGTAATGTGGATGGCCAGAGCATTGCTAGGTAACAGACAGGTAAACAGAAGCGATACACACTGGCAACAATGGAACAACGAGGTTATACAACCCACTTCTAGGCAATGGCTCAGTAAACAGACTTCCATGCAGGCACAGTGATGTCACACTGCAACAGTACTATCATGTGACTTGTTTTCTGTGTTGTCTGTGCACCACGTATGTAATAAATATCCGTTTAAGGACGAATACTTCCACTGTGACCCTGTGAGTTGTAAGAGGTGACGAAAAGGGAAGTCTCAAATCTGAGACAGTAAAATATGGTCTCAAGTCCCAAGGGACTCAGATCCAAGAAAGACTGCACTGGCAAGGGCCAGCAGCATATATAAAAGACAAACCCCTCCTCTCGTCAGAGAGGGCGTCCCACAAAAAAAGACTGTAACTGTCAAACAGTAACAAATATCTGGTCATGAGCCCCAGATGGGGCTCGACACCAAGACTTACTGACTGACTGACTGACCATCTGTCGCAGTGTGACTTGGACTTGGACAAGAAAGAGTGTGTGGAGAGTTCGGGACAGCTCAAGACAATTGGTAGACTAGTGCAGAGTGCTTATAAGAGAAGTGAATAGAAGACATGACATGTGTGTTATAATTACAGTAATCTTGAATGTGTTACAATGATTTGTGGTTACAACTACTGAAGATCAAATAAACCGATTCACCAATCCAGACCCACGTCTTAGTCATCCAGATGTGTGACAGTATATAAAATTCAATAGATTAATAAATATAATACTAATTATTGTCCATATTCAGACAATTTAATAACAAGAGACATTTTTGAGAAAATGCCCGATGATGATCCAGATGGTGGATCGAAACATGTAGCAGACGCTAAAATAAAACCTGTGTTAGTACAATGATATTGGATTGGTTTTGTTTGAAAAAAAATTTGTGTTGACAGCTCAAAAACATTACCTCTTTATGACTCTTTGCTTATAAGTATGTAGATGATGTAGTTAATAATTTCTAATAATTATATTGTGTGTCTAAGGTGTAAGTCTAGCACCAGTTTTTAATTGGACATTCATATTTGACCTTTCATTTTTCTGTAATCTATCAGGAATTTCCTGTGCCTTAAAATTAGAATAATTGTTAAAGTGTCAGGTTCTGCTGCTTAGCTGACATAACAGTGGCCAAAATATGACAATCTTTTTTATTCCATCAGAACTATTTTCTTATATTTAAAATTATTTTAAAAATAATCTTCTGCTAGGCAACACATCTTACTTATTTTTCTGTTTAAACAGATGGTTCTTGTTAAAAGAATATCATGGAAGCAATGAAAGAAATAAATGGAATATGTCATTTATTTTTAGAATACGTTCTTTCAGTTTTCTATAAATTCAGAATATGGACTTAGATTGTTTGTATATGTACAAGTAATGGTTATGTATTAAATATATTAGTGGATGACATGTCAGAAATAATGGGAAATCATTTTTCCTTACTTTCCTTTAAGTCTGTCATTTCTTTATCAGCTTCACTGCCTTCTGCTTTATTTTCCTCTCTCTTCTATTTGTCCATCCTAACATCATTCCTCTCTTCACTCCTCCCTTCCTCTCCTGTGTTCTTTTCCCATCCCATTTATCCAGTTATGTCTCCATATTGTGATATTTATTGTTACTTGGAAGAGTTAAGTTTCCGCATTAGTAGCCACTTTATCTTCGTATCTGTTTGTATTTTTCCACTACTGTTTCACAGAGTAATGCCACTGCACTGTCTTGTCATTCTGTCCTGCAGCAATCATCCACAGGCAACCATATTCTGGCTGGGTTACCATCCCACAACTTTGCTGATTGTCTGGCTATCACCTTCACATCCTCAAGCTTTATGGCCTAGTTATGGGCTTCTCATGGAGACCTCTCACTGCCCATTGGGAAGTGTTCTATTTCCCAGTTGTTCATTTCATCGAGAACCCAAAATTTGCCTCCCTCTGAGTGAAGTCCTCTGGTAACCTGACGTGGACCTGGGGGACCAGGTGCTCCATAGCTGCTATGAATTCTTGTAGCTATTCGCCACACAGCTGAGCCCTGGCTTTGAGCTGTGACCTGCAGGATGCCACAAGCTGGCGGTCTCAGTAATGGTACTTCAGTGCTCTGACTATAACCCCATCTCTCCACTTGGAGCTTTAGGATGTTAACATCCTCTCACTGCAGAATGGTGAGTAGATGCATCACCTTTTGATGAGCTGCCCAACTGTTGTGATCAGCCATGGCCCCAGTCTGATGCTGAAACGTTTCTGAGGATGTTGATATGACAGAACTCGGTGGCACTGGCCTCTGTTATCTCATTCAAACTTCTGCTGCTCCCACCTGTGTCTCGAACTCACTACATGTGACTATGATGTTATGTCACCTGCAGCTTACTATTGAGCTTTTCATGAAGATGCTGGGCCTGCTAGTTAATCACTATCATGATGTCTCACATCTGTTTGCCTAGCATGCCTGTTTGTTTGATCTCACTATGGCCAGCCTAATGACACTTCTTTCACTTTTTAGTTCATGTCACCAGTTTTCCTTGATTGGTGCCAATGGTAGGGATCCCAGATTTCTGTTGCATGAAGCAGGACATTCTTCTGGGTCGCATAAACTATCACAAAAGGGGGAGGGTGTTGGAAATATGCTTACTCATATTCTTGGCATTGAGAAATAGAAGCACCTAGATTAATAAAAAAGAATGGGAAAACATTTGCAAATTAGTTTCGGGCGCAGAAATGACAAACGTGATGCTTATGAAATCATTAAGATCAAAAACATACAAGAAAATGCTGAAAACTTCAAATCAAAAGGACATATATTTTATAGGGATGGATGAATTTCTATTTACCTTTAAGTGAAAGCAGAACTTGTTGAAGCAGCATTGTACGCACTTCATTGTTGGCAATATAGGGGCTGAAATACATTCAGCAGAATTTTCTGTTTGATCCAAAACCTTACAATTTAATAATAGAAATTAATGAAATCCTGTGAATTTATAGTTACAGAAGTGGTGCTTCACTAATAATATTTGTTTCTCGGTCAGCACCTCTAAACGCTTTCATTGATACATGAGGCATTCGCCAGTGAAGACATCTTTTTCACAGCTGCACTTTTTCCTGACAGAAGCAGAAAATTCTGTGACTGCCCTAGTATTTTTAAGTGAAATATTTCTTGCCAGCATTCACCCTCTAGTAGTTTTTTTTTATTCCAGATCTAATATTTCCCCTTAACATATTTTGAAACTGGTATCCATAAAATAGTCCAGTTCTGTCAACTGATTCACTAAGGATTGTTTTGTTCTTAATCATAAATTCTGGTGGCTTATGAAAAACCTCCCAGCTGTGACAGTGTTACACACACTTCAGTTCATTAAATGGATGAATCCATTCTGTAATGTATTCAGTTCCTGTATCATAGACCAGTGTCTCCCAACTGCCGGGCACCGGCATCAATTATACCAGGCTCTCGACTTATCAAAAAACAGAATTTACCGGGCCACTGTCTGACAAAGGTTGAGAACCACTGCCATAGGCATCACTGACCTGGGAGTCAGATTAATGTGATGTTACATCACCTGCTTCTTCCAGCTCAACGAGAAGATTATTTTCTTGCAGAGTTCAGAAATTACTAGCTTTTCTGTTTTCAGTTTACACCAACAAAGCATCAATTATGAATTTTACCTCTGCTGAAATATTCCCCTTTCCAAGATTTCTTGTACAAACAGTAAATATTTCAAGTTGATTCTGTAGAAATATCAGATACAGAAAAACTGTTTACTTTCAAACCATTTCTTTAGCATGGAGGGACACTTCTCAGTTGATAAAAGTATTGTCACATGTATAAAAGGGCATAATCTGCTGTACCTAGCCTGGACTGACGGAGGCCGTGTAAATATTGTACATTTATATAAGTATGTATTGCAAATATGTGTAAATACAGACTGACTAACAAATGACAGACCCGACCTCTCGTCAGAGAGGGCGCTACACATGGACAGGA